TATAATATAGATATATTCATCTATTAAATATTATACTTAAGAGATATTGGAGATATATTACAGATTTTTAAAAATTAATTTTAATACAAGTATTTCTATTTTATTAAATTATAATGCATACAGAATATTAACGCTTATTTCGTGCGCAATTGAAATACTCTACGTGTCTCGCGAATCGTTTTTGCGTCAGTAAATATATATACATAATGGATTGACAGGCGTATTAAACATTTAAGGCGGTATTAGTGAATGTAATTAAAATTTATGTTGAAGCGCACGGATTACAGGCGCCGTGCCATCGCGGCAACTAATTGCGGACGACGATTAATTGCGATCAAAGGAAAATCTCGAGGAGAAATTATGAACAAATAATGAAACTTTGAGCAGCGTGACTCCGCCGGATGCTCGTTAATATCAATATACTTTTTATCAAAAATATCCAACATGGAAAATTATACATTGTATATATAATAGTATTTTCGGGACAGTTCGACATTTTAATTGTTCTACCATTTCAACCTAATTTTGAGAACCTAATTTCCCACGTGATAGGGTTTTTCTTGAATAATATATTTTTTCGCGCGAAATTTTTTGTCGCAACGATAGTTTGCGCTCCCATAGTCTGTAGTCAAATTTTACGGAATCAAAGGCAACGTCTGCGTTATCGAAATTCCCAAAACCGGTAACTGAGTTTACCACTAGATTGCCCCGCAAGGAGGAAACCGTCCAATCGTTCACCGGATGTCTTCCTCTTGCCCTTCTCTTACCCTTCATCCTCTATTCCTCACTGTGTCTTTCGCGCGCTCCTATATTGAGAGTCTCGCAATCACTCTCTGAAATCACTTGCATTCTCTTTCACATTCGTCCAATATTTATTGCATAATATCGGAACAAACTAGACAAATAAATATCTTTTCCTTACTTCAAACATGACACAGCTAAAAAAAAAACCGTGATTCTTGGGTTATTGAATGAGTTAAGTAAACATGACTATTTCCGGATTAAGAGAATATGAAACGAAAATGACATTTGACCATGTTAAGGTTATATTCTTTTTGTCGATATTATTTGATTAGTCAATAATATTCTAGCATATTAAAAAATAGTTTTTTCCCTTTTCTAGAAAATTTAATTCTTCGAGTTGTGTCACTATTGAAATAAGGAAGGATTGAATATGTTAGATTATCTAGCGATTATCTGTAATCATATTTCTCAGGGGAAAAACATTTGAATATTATTAAGTCTCTGTAACTTATAGTAATCCATGTTTCTTTTTCTTGTGTTTCTAGCCTGGAAACGGATTTGGCAGATTGCCCGAGCCGCTTCAGACGGTAGCCGGCGAATATTGTCCCAGTAACTACCCAGTGTCTCAAACCGCGAATAATGAAAAGTTGCACACTGGTAAGTGGGATTTTCATTAATGAAGGCTTCTTAATAATCGTCGGCTTGATAATCGCGATGTTTTTCCATTTAAACGTATGAGCGAAGAGGATTCACACGAACCCGCAGAAAATTTTCTACGCGCGCCATTCAATGTTTCCATTTTCTGAGAAGAAAGTGCATCTATACAAAAATATCTAAATCACTTTAACGTTTTAACTTGACGTTCTTAACGAACTTGCGAGGGTATAATCAAGGGAAAAGGTGAGCGAGGAGCGGAGACCGGTCGATTCTTCGATTCCCCCGTTCGACTTTGAAGCTCTTTGATATCGTCGCGGCTCGGAGACGTCGCGTTTCCATCGGGTGAGGCTTTCGATACACGAAGACCGTCGACCGCGAAAGGAGAAGCGCACACATAGGAAAGGGCACGTTTAGGAACACGTGCGGGGACGTGTACCCCGAAACGAAACGCTGGCAAGGAGAGAAGCGGAGGGTGAGCTATACCCCCCGAAGAGAGCCTGTCACTCGCAGGCAGCCGAGTCGATATCTTTATATAGTCGCATCAACGACGACATTATTTTCCAAAGGTCGCGGTGAGACGCGGTTGCATCGTGTGACATCGCCCGAGACAATCTGCTCGGAGTACTTCTTGCCAATTACTCGGCCCGACATTTCCTAAATAGCTGGCCGATATTTCGCTCAACAACGCGTTGCGTTTTCGGCGCCAAAAATATACGAAAGCTTTCAGTAATCGACGCATTATTTTCTTGGCATCAATTCGTACAATCCGATGATATCTTGATTCCTCAATTCCTTCAATCGATGGTATCGATGATGATATTAAAGATGATATCAATGATAACATCTACTTTAAAAATAAATACTTTTTCTTAGTTTGAGTAGCCCATTGGCAAAAGTCGTTATATCCACTTGAAACTTTTTGTGAGAGTGAAAAAACATGTATAATTTTTCTCATCCAAGTTATGAATAAGATTTTTTTTAATTAAGAAGGAATCATTTTAGTTAAAAAACGTGTATAATATAGTATGAGAAATACAATTTTCATTAAAATAGAATACACTTGATTGATGTTGGAGGAAGAATTTTAGCTATTTTGGAACAAAATGTCTGCCATTTTTATTAAATATGACTAATGGATATAACTGCATCTGCAACAGTAGGGAGATTTGGAGAATCTTTATTTTTCTTCTTATAAACAATAAAGATAATTTATCTTTTTTTTACAATTATAGATCCACTTTTCCCTCTTGACTGATTTAATATTATTAATCAGTATTATTGACCATGTAAGATCACCTTAAGGAATTCAAGAGTTCTAGAATCTAATTTTTTTTATATTTTTAGACATAGCTGCTTTTGTATATAACTAGACTACTCAATTGAGATTTAGATTTTAGAATGTGAAAGATGTTCTCGCGATAAGACTACGGACTAATTCGTACCTCGATAATTTCATCTTTCGCGACGAGAGTTTTCTTCCAGGCGAGTGTCCTAGCCTTGACCTAGAAACGTGACATCAATTCAATAAGTGACGTGTTATCATCGCAAAGACTTCCCTGGGGTGTCCTCACAGTGAAATCCCCCACATCCCCCTCCTTAGTATCACCGTTGTGGAGAATCGCCGAACAACCCCAGCCAGCGTCTGGCTGCAGTGATTGACACTTTATATCTAGCATTGGCACGCCACGGCGCGAAGCCACCGCTCGCTCGGGATGGACCACCTCCACCTAACTCAATCACTGCCTATAATGCCGCAATTTCTCTATCATAATCGCGTTACGTCCCCTCTCTACACCGACTCGATCCACTTTTCGACACGACGATTCAGAAATATTGAAACGCCGCCACGATGGATGAAAATACCGCTGATCGTTCCCCGCTTTCTCTCTTTTTCTTTCCTTCTTCTCTCCCCTATCTCTGTCTATCTCTTTCTATCTCTTTCGTTCGTCTTTTTCACATTCTACGTATCTGGAAACGGTGTTGTAACTTTTCCGTCTCTATAACGAATGTTTCCGACTACAAAATATAATTAGACTCGAATATAGTTCGTATTGAAATTACAATGTAAAAAATAGTAAAAATTATGGAAAATTTTTAATGTAATATTTATATGAAAAGAATTTTCTGTTAAAGTACAGATTTGAAAATAATTATAATGAGCCATCAAAATAATTATGTGGATGCTCAAACTGGTTGCTACACTGTAAAAAAGCATGTAAAATTACATAAATAATATATGCGATGGAAATGGTACACCATATAAAATGGTGCTTTTTTAAAAAAATTAATAAAAAACTTTTATCTCTAATTGTCTAAATACATCTTGATATTAAGATTCCTCCAGATGATATGGCTATATACGACAACTTTGCACACATTCGTTAAATATTGGCCTACATTCAATAATACATTCAATATGGATAATTATATGTATCATGTGTGTTTATGATATTTATTAATGTTGACATATATTGCCCATATCGTTGGAAGCACCTCGTGGGAGGCGTCTACATGTAAAGAATAATTTTACTGAAATACATAAATATTTAAGTAGATAAATCTAAAAGTAAGTCTTTTATTGAACTTTCAAAATAATTATATAGAAATCTCAAACATGATTAACAATACTGCAAAATGTTTTTCTAGAAACCGATTAAGCATCCTATATAATTATTTTAATAATCCAACAAAATTATTCTATATTATAGCTAAATTTTTAGATACTTCGACCAAACTACAGTCCGTGTAAAATTACTCATTCTAATTATTGTATAATAATTTTACATAAAATTGTTTTACCGTATACAATATTAAAATTTTTTGCAGCGGTATCATCATGAACGTTCTACAGAATTATTTTAATATTTCAACGTAATTATTTTCAGATCTATTTTCTGATCTAATTTTTATACGTCAGCAAACCGTTTTCTTCTCGTAGAGCACGTAGTTGATACATGTAATCTGTACGATCGTAAATTTGTCTTGAGCGACAGGAATTTAGTGCGGTATCCAAAGACACTGCGAACACTCGGGAGAAGTCTTTGCGGAGAAGAGTATCGTTATAGCCGAGCAATGAGCTGTGGCGTAAGTAGATTCGATTCGCGTCGGACGGGATTCTGTCATGGAACGAAACGAGGTTACCGCCGAGTGGCTACCCATGGCGAATCCTGGAGGCCCATTAAACGCACCCCAGTTCATCGCGGCATTCTTATGCGTCCGTTCACGTGGAAGGGTTTGTTTTTGCCTCTGATTCATTCGCGATCTTCTCGCCTTCCTTTGTCCTCGGCATGGATCTCGCTGATCTCAGATTCGGATTGGTGCGTTTTTTCCCATCGCGAAAGTGCTAGATATATCGAAGAACTATCTGTCTCCTTTTTATATCGAACGTATCGAATAAATACGCATATCAATAACATAATTAATCAAAAATAACGGAAGCGCACCACGTGACAATCTACAGCAAACATTGCCCGACATACATATATCAGCTCCACATATATAAATGTATTTGCGTTCCCTGCCGCCTATTATTTGCTTTATCTCGCGATCAATAGCACGATTAATCAATGCGTGTTGTTAACTTTGATTACAGGGAGCGAGTTGTACATGCCGCAAGGCTACAGGCAAGAAACCTGGTTGCAAGATGGTAAGTGTGCTTCAGTCAAAATTTTATTTTCTTGGCACACGTATATTTTATAATGCTTCAATTAATTACTATAATAATATTGTAATAATGTAATTGTCCATTGTGCATATTACGCATTTGCCTTTAATAGAGGCTTAAGTCTCCCGAAACCATTAGCCCGGATAGCTCAGTCGGTAGAGCATCAGACTTTTAATCTGAGGGTCCAGGGTTCGAGTCCCTGTTCGGGCGATTTTTTTTGCTTCTTCATCCCGAAAGTATTCATAATATAAAAATGATATCTTTACGTACGATTAAGTTTCAATTAATACACATAGCAAGTAAAATAAATGTCCAACAACTAAACTAATAAGAATTAAGATGTGATGAGTTTTATATTATTATTTATTAATTAATATTTAATGGCATTATAAAAAAAATCCATATATGAAACTTTGTTCTGTCGATGATCGAAAAATACTAACATATGAATCTAAAAAAAAATATTTAAGTGAAATTTCATTGTTATGTAATTCCGCATACACGGAAAAAAACAGTTTTGTTGAAGCATCTAAAAATTTAGCTGAATATAGATCTGAAAATAATTTTGTTGGACCATCAAACTAATTATATAGAACTCTTAAGTATGATGAATATACAATAAAAAACATTTTGTATTTATATCAGAAACCGTTTATTCAAGTCCTTGTTAAAATTTTGTGTTGCATTTTTAACATACTCGAATGTTAATTTAACATAATGTGATTTTATATTATTTAAATATTTTGTATTAAATCGAAATTTAAGATTTCTTATTGTCAAAATAATACAATTTATGAGTAAGTGAACAAGTAACACAAAAGAAATATGTTTTAAAACGTAAATTTTAAGATGAATAAAGGAGACTGTGTGTGTTAATTTAACATATAAATGTTAATTTTATTGAAAAAATATGCTTCCACAATTTAGTTATAAATTGTGTCAGCGTTACATTTTTTATATTAATTTTTTATATAATATTTATTACTTCTTAACATCTTGTATTGAATTCATCTTAATAATTACAAATATATTGTTGATTTTTCAATCACTAGACACTACCAATTATTGGGACCTCTACCTTATGAAAAAAGATAATTTTTTTTATTTCTTATTATTAGACACAAATTATGCACTAAGAATATGAGTATAAAAATAATGTTAAAGAAAGCTTAAATATTTTTTATATCGTCAATTACAATGTTTTATAAAATAATAACGCTAAACGGACTCAATAGAATTTCTCAAGAATCAGATTGTTATTAAAGTCACGAAATCTTGGTATTGATTTTTAGAATTTAGAGATGTAGTATGAAATTAAAGCCCTAAGCCGCACAGTGAGATAATTACGTTCAGCCACTATTCACTCGGAACATTAATTTTAATTACCATGCCCAACTGCGATGTAATACGCGATGGACGTAATGTAACGGATGATGAAAGGGGGGATGATTTTACTCGCGAGACGGAAGCTCGATATTTTCGAGCAAAATCTTTCTTGTGAAAAATGATAAAGACCAATAGAAGAAGCAATCATGAGATGTCAAAGTATTGGCAGCGCATGCATAAAAGCTCGTAGCGTTATAAACTATAAAATTCAACCTGCAACTTTATTAAAAAGGAACGATAACTCTTAATATACACGATACCTTCATGCCCTCGGCTTTTTTTCTTTCAAATATTAAAAACACTTACGAGTTTTCTGGTCAGAATATTTATATAGATTATATCTATATTAAAAATACCTAGCTAAATAATGATCTATATTCTTTTCCTTTGATATCTAAAAAATAAGTAATTTTGTGCGTTGCCAGCTTTCATTCCTATGTATCTCCCAACAAAAACATTTCAGAAATTTATCTTAAAACGAAAGACTCGTCGTATATAATTCATTTTGCAGCTGAAAAAATTTTATTTTTTTACATTCAATTAATTTTCGTTTACGTTTAAAAAATGTCACGATTTAACTATTAAAAAATTAAAAATGAAACGATTTGCGTTGAATAATATAAATAATATTTAAAAAATTTAATAAACATAAAATTCAGAAATATTTAAATAAAAATTAAAAAAAATGTTTCTTCTAATTAATTGCAATTTTTTGTAACGTAATATCAATGATAAAATCGTTTAAAATATAAATGCAATAAATTTTCAATTTATATTCACTTATGTATACTGTAAAAAAATATTATTTTTTCAGATTACTCAATAAATGAACTTTTTGGACAATCGGATTATTTTTTCTTTTGTAGTTTGGAATTTAACTTTAAGATATTGAAACATTTTTGTTTCAGAGTTTTGCATTTTTATATAAAAAAAAAGAGCATTTTGACTTTGATTGCTCCGTTAAAAATCATCATATCGCAATTCAAAGAAACAGATTCTTAAAGCTGAAATTTTGCTCTATCGAATGATACAGTTGCTAATTTTTTCAGAAAACATGTAGATAATATAAATAGCATATAACTTAATATACTCGTAAATAGCGTTATAAACTTTTGTTTCGATCTAATATTAAAATGTAAATGTTTAAATTACAATACATTAAAGCGGGACGTTTCAACTGACAAAATGAGTCTGCTTCAGAATTTTTTTAACTTTTTCTATCGGCAGAAAAAAGTATATGTTCAATTAATTACAAATTATACTAACATGATGTCTCCTTCGCGCAGGTAGCAGCTCCGAAACCGAGGACAGCGAGCAATACGTGCCCGAGTTCCACCAGATGTCGAGTAAGCGTCCGTCTTCATCTGTTCGCTCTGTTCGTAAGCGTTTCCATGAACCATTCGTCAAATGTATACTTGTCGTTCAATCCTATTGATTATTGCGGAAAAATAGCACGCATTAGTCGCATCGCGTCGCATCGATACGGCGGCAATGTCTGATAATTCGCCCAGATAAATAAATCCGAGATTGGAATCCGCGGAACAGGATTGCAGAATGTCAATCTCCGCTGAAATCACCGCTGAAATCGTGTATAGTGTGCGGAAATGTTTCGCGCGTCGTGGTTCAGCTTCGAAATTGGTTGGAAAGTCTGTTACCGCACGCGCTGTCTGAAGGTCTAAACTAGAGATGCTATACTAGAGTCTGGCCACGAGATAAACTTTTGATTTGTTCGTCGTTTTTGTCAATTTCAGTCAGACTGAATAAGATAGTATAACTTAGAATGAAATAGCATGTATAAAAAGAGACTATATATATATATCCTCCTTTCTCATTCTTGTTTTGAGAAAATTACTCGTGGCTCTAATCTAGACTAGAGACTCTCTAATCGAAGGCACAAAACAGCCACTTTTGATTCGCCTACCATGTTTTTAACAACTTCTGAGAGAGAAAAAAGAGAGAGAAAGAAGTAAAAAATAGAACAGAAAGAGGAAAAAATAGTAAATGTATGTTCTTCTTTCTCACGTGATTTTAATTAATAACTAGAGAACCTGCATACAGAACACGGCTCTTGTCCAAACTCTGATAGAGATATCTAGTCTAGACTAGAGATTCTCAAGTAAGAGACTGGACAATATACATTTGATCCGTCATATTTTT